CTTCATCAAAATCTAAAGATGTTGATCAATGTAAGATTATGGCTAGAAAGTGTTTTTGTTTAAAAGTAGTTTTGATAATCCAATGAGATTTGTCTACTTTATTATAATATTACTATATCCCCACTTTTTTTAATCCTCCTTTGAAGGATAGGAAAGATGAAAGAAAAATAGAAATCCTTGAGTCTAAGGCCCCTATTTAGTTTCTTTCTGTCCAACACTATAATTATTTGTAAATCAGTTTTAAATGTCAATATGTGTACAATTTATAATATGACCAAAACCTTCCACCTGAATTCAAGGGACAGGGATGATGGTCTCCTTATAATTGCTTCTTGATGAACTGGGGCAAAGAATTCCTGTTTGAGGACCAAAAAGAAAATTGTAAAAATGATTAAGTCAAAAGCTAGCTGGAAATTTTTTTTTTTGGTTTTGTGGGTATAAGCTTTCTTTCTTTCTTTTTTCTTTCTTTCTTTTTTTTTTTTTTTACTAAAAAACAAAATCTATAAAAACGCAAAAAAGTAAACCATAATACATAAGCAAAAGGCCAATAAGACAAAAAAAAAAGAAAAGAAAAGAAAAGAAAAGAAAAGAAAAGCCCAAAGCAATATGACACAAAACGTCTACAGAAATACTCTTTGAGTTGAGTCTTGTGTTGGCCAAGGGTAGGCCACTGCTGAGCATGGGGCTTACCCTTACATGTGGTTATCCTACCCAGAGTGGATGTCAATTGCAAATAACTTTTATATATATATATATATATATATATATATATATATATATATATATATTTTATTTTTTCATTTTTTAAAAATTGTAATTTATACTCATTCACACAGGGGTTATAAACACAAAAAGGCAGGACGTGGGGAAGGGGATGACACTGGAGTATGAGTGTTCAGGGGGAATACAGATATTTTTCAGAACAGGGTATCAGCTGGGTGAGAGTTCAGGGGATAGGTCACTATGACTCTGCATATGATTCACTTGTCTTTATCTACATTGGTAATATCTGCCAAGGCTACCTAATTACAAGGTCTATGACTACTCAGGCTGGTAAAATGTCACAAAACTGCCTGCATAGCCATCTGTTTCAGTGTTTATCCACAGAAACCCAAGACTTGGTGTTAGTATACATGTATGACAGGCCTATTGCTGATTTTAGGCCTATGGCTGATTTTAGGCCTTCACCGTATAAGCAGGGATGCCCCTGACATCTCTTCCCTTCTCTAAGTATAGAAGGGCTGTGGCGAATCTAATCTTGCGAAGGCGGGGATAGCCAGTAATTGAAGAGGACCTTGTAATGGCTCCGGTCCCCCTGTTGTTGTCCAGTGAGGGATTAGGGCCCTACCCGTCCTGATGTCTTTTTCTTGGAGAGGGGATACTTTTGACATCAACCCCTATGCAGTCAGGCTTGTCCCACAGGGAAACCAGAGAGATATTTTTAACTTTTATTGATATTCCCTTGCAGTTCTTAGCCTTGCAGCCTGTGTCATAGTTTTTATTGGTCTCAGTGATGCCAGAGACAGTCAGCAGCAGTTTTGCCATGAGCTTTCAGTTTTAGAGAGTTAAAGGTGAACAAGGCATGATGGAGAGTATTTCAGGGGGACTCCTTCTGGGGGGGTACTGTTCCCCCTCTTTTGTTTTTAAAGCCAAATTTTCAGGGTTCTTGTAAAATTAGGGCAGAAGCACCAACCGTCACTCCTTCCACACTAAGAGAGTCATGTGGACATTATTTAAAGAAATATAAATCTATATTAATACTCTCTTTTATCAAAGGACTGTTATAGCACAGCCCACAACTAATCAGACTATATAGTATATCGATTAATAATAGCTTCTTCTACTTTTTGTGAGATTACTTCTCTTTTGTCAATTAATTGTTGAGAGAAATTAGGATTTACATCTCTCTTGAGACTTAAATTCTTTTGTGGAGAGCTTAAAATAAGTTCTTAGCCAGTTAGTATGTCCTAGAAACCTTTGAAAATAATATGAATTAAGTAAACTCTCTCTCTCTCTCTTTTTCAGACCCTTTATCTGTTTTTTTTTATTGAATATTTTACATATTTAACTTTCAATGGGCTCTGTGAGGTCCCAGGTGATGTGAGTATTGGTGTTGAATTCTCACCTATGTCTCTAGTTAGAGTAGTCCTCCTGGGAGACAGGCAGGTCTGTGAGGTCCGAGGGAAGGCATGCTCATCTGCCATGGGTGTAGACGGAGGTGCCTCATAAATCATAAATCTTATGATTGTTCATTTAAATTCTGTGTCCTGGTATTCATATAGATAACTCTCATTGCAGAAATTTCAACAGGAATGGTATGTTTTTGAGAGAACATACCTGCTTTTCCTTTCTCATTAGTTCTATACAATCTGGGAGTGGCTTTTTTTTTCATTTTTTTACTGGATATTTTATTTACATTTCAGATGTTATCCCCTTACCTCATTCTTCCCCTCCCTCACCCAGGAACCCCCTATCCTGTCGGCCCTCCTCCTGCTTCTCTGCAGATGTCTCCCTACAGATCCCCCCACTCTCACATCCCCACCCTCGAATTCCCACACACACGGTGTCCAGCCTGTGGCTTTCTTTTATTAGTTCTAAGTCTAATATGGACAGTATATATTGGGGCAGATGAAAGGATGTGTGCAAAGCTTGAACCTAGAATTAAGATATGACTTATATGTGATGAAGTCAGGTAGACAGAAAGTACTGTGCTGGCATGCAGGCTGTCTCCTTATCTAAGACTAGAGTGCATGAATAGATCTGTCTTGGTGGTAAGGTTGAGTGAGGTGTGGGAATGGTCTGCAGGTTGGGGGATATGTACGAAGAGTCCTGGCAAATGTCTATAGATTGATCTGGCTAGTTTCAGAGAATATTTGGATGGGAATGGCCAGGAAGTTTTGGAGATCATGGCAGATCTTGGAGAAGGGAGTGGGACATCTGGTCAGTGAAGAAGTTGGATGTGGTAAGAAAGGGTGATAGCAGGAGGACACATTTTGCCAGAACCTAGAAATTATTTATGGAGCAGGAACAAATGGCCAGAATATGTCAGAGCACTGGATGTGGGGCCTGGGCTAGATCTGGAGAATTGAGGAAAATTTGGAGATTGAGAGATCCAGGGTGACCCAACGGGTTAGAGTCTGGAGAAAGAAGTTAGTTATGACACAGGCAGGAGTGACTAAACTTAAAATGGGTACTTGATTTGAAACTTGCTAGATCTGTACATATGGAAGAAGATATGGATAGAGAGACCAGGGAAACTCAAAAGTGTAGATTTTAGATAAGGAATCCATTTATTTTGATTATATTCATCACTCTCATTCCTCTCCAATCCTTCCCATATGGACAACCACCCAATTTCATGTATTTCTTTCATTCAAGCAAGAAAACCAAGAATCTTGGAAATAGCCTGAGGGTTTTTTTGTGGTTGTTGTTGTTTTTTTGTTTTTGTTTTGGATTCCATGAGACACTTTTGACCAACTATACACTGGCACTGGAGTTTTTGCTTGGTGGTTCAAAATATATCAGCAGTTCCTTGCTTCCCCTGGTATATAGTGACTCTATTTATATATCTTTTGTATATGTATGCATTTTAAGAAGTTAGTAGGTTTCCATATGACTTCTCAAATGGCCTTTCATGATAGTTTCATCTTCTTATAATCTAACTCTCATCCCTCTCATATCCCCACTTCCCCATTTAATCATCTCATTTCAGTCTCCCCTTGCTTCTCCATAAGTATATATTATTTTCATCCTTTTTTATATTTAAACTTGTTTTATTTTATTGGTAAGTAACCTAGGCTTTTGGTCATGGCATTTCATCATAGCCATAAAATGCCGATCTAGGACAAAGAGTACACCTGGATCTTGACATAGAGTCATTCACAGCTTCCTGTAAAAGAACCACACTGATTTTCATAGTGTCTATACAAGTTTTCACTCACAGAAGCAAAGGATGGGTGTTCACCTTACTTCATATTCTCAACAGCATGAGCTGTCTATTTGTCTATTTACCTTGGCATTCTGACTAGTGTAAGATAAGATTTCAAAGCAGCTTTGATTTGCATTTCCCAGATGACTAGTGGTGTTGAACATATCTTTATGTGCTTCTCAGTCATTTTTATTTTTTATTTACATTGCAAATATTGTCACCTTTCCATTTCTCCCCTACACCTCTCCCATTCCATTCTCCCTCTCCTTTGCCTCTAAGAGGGTTCTCCCTCACCTATCCACCCACTTCTACCTCACTTCTCTATCATCCCTCCATGCTAGGGCATTGAGCCCTCACATGACCAAGGGCCTTTCCTACCACTGATGCCAGATAATATAATCCTATGTGACATATTTTATTTATTTTTTTGAGAATTCTTTGTTTAGATCTGTACCTCATTTTAAAATTGGGAAGTTAGATCATTTGTTTTCTTGATGTCCAGTGTTTTGTAAAGTCCCTTATATATCTGAGATACTAACCTTCTATTAGATGTGTAGTTGGTTAAAAACTTTTCTTATTCTGTGAGTTAACACTTTGCATGAATGATTATATCTCTTGCCCAACAGAGACTTTTCAGTTTCATGAGGATCTATTTGTTAATTATTTGTCTTAATGCCCATGCTATAAGAGTCCTTTACAGAAAACCCTCTCCTAACCAATGAATTTAAGACTATTCCCCACTATCTTTTGTATCAGATTCAAGACATCTGGTATTACGTTGAGGTCCTTAATACATTTGAAGTTGAGTCTTGTGCATAGTGATAAATATGGATCTATTTTCATTCTTCACTATCCATCTATTTTATTTAACCATCACCATTTGTTGAAGATACGTTTTCCCCCTCTGGTTTGTATTTTTTTTCAGAGCTGAGGACTGAACCCAAAGCCTTGTGCTCGCTAGGCAAGCATTCTACCACTGAGCTAAATTCCCAACCCCCTAGTTTGTATTTTTGACCTCTTTTTAAAAAACAATTTTTTTTATAGGAGAGTGGAATTAATACATTACTAAAATTTAAGGGATACTTTCAATCTTAGAATGTGTGCCACTGAACTTTTCAGTAAAATTCACCATAGGTCTTAACAAAATTGTGAAGCACTTTGGGAAAAAAATACAAACAAGCAACCCTGCACTGGAAGTCAAGATAGAAAAGATTTCCACAACCACCATTGCCTTTCCCTTGGTGCTATGATAGACAGGGAGAAATGTAATCCACACACTACAAAACACCAGCATGCTAAATGTCAGGAGCTTGGCTTCATTGAATCTATCAGGCAGATTTCTGGCCAGAAAAGCTACAGTGAAACTCCCCAGGGCTAATAGGCCCAAGAAACCCAGGACACAGTAGAAGGCAATAACTGAACCCTTGTTGCAGAAAATGATGATGTGGCCATGTTCAAAGTGTGGATCAGTATCAACAAATGGAGGAGATGTTCCTAGCCAGGTTCCACAGAGAATAAGTTGGATCATGGTGCAGATGGGAATGATATAGTTAGGTGCCCTTGTTACTAACATCTGTCTTATTTTTTTTCTTGGATCAGTGATCATGAAAGCCATTACCACAGTAATTGTTTTAGCCAAAATAGCAGAAACTGCTACAGTGAAAACAACTGCAAATGTAGTCTGCTGCAGGATGCAGGTAGCCACATGGGGGTGGCCAATGAAGAGCAAGGAACAAAGAAAACAAAATATCAGAGAGATGAGCAGAATGTAGCTGAGAAGTCGGTTATTCGCCTTGACAATGGGATTGTCTTGGTGCTTCAAAAAGATACTGAGTATAAAAGCTGTGAGAGCAGAGAAGCATAGGGCTAAAGAGGCCAGAGCCATTCCTAAAGGGTCTTCATAAGCCAGGAAGGTGACAATCTTTTTTAGACAGTGAGTTTGTTTTATGTTGGCATACTGATCATTTGGACACTTCACACATTGATCCATGTCTAGTACAGGAAATAAAGTATTATCAGTTTTATTTTATCTCTATTTTTCACATAAATTTTAAATTAATGATTGGAAAGTTTTGGCCAAATGGGCATTATTCATTGGACATACATCTTCTCGCAAATCACCTTTTAATAGACATAACTAGTACTATGTAAGAAGGCAAAAACTCTATGAAGTAATTAGCACCTGATGTCACTACTTCTTATAAATCTTTTTTTTTTGTTTTATATTTCTATGTGAGAATTTTAGAGCACATAATATTTTTACTATTTTTTAAAATTAGGTTTGAGTATTAATCTACTCAAAGGACGAGTCCTTAATTAGAAAACACCACTGCAAGAATGTTTTCCATCTTTTAATAATAAGCAATGTCACATAATCCTATGAGGGTGCAAGAATCTCCTTCTAAACTTACCTTGAAAGTTACACTGCAGTACATTCAATTTTAAAATTTCAATTGAATTGGAAAACCGTATCTAATTTAAATTTTGTAATATCAGTCTTTCTATCAGTAGCATACATATTCAGTTATTTTAAGTTCATCTTGTTTTTCTAAACTGTTATCTTAGCATATGGGTAATCTAGTGCTTCTCAAAGTTTTATATGTTGCCTAAGACCATTGGAAAACACAGACAATTATTTGTGGAGAGCTCTTGGTGCAGCTTCAAGGATATTACCAAGAATACTTACAATGTAGTAGGACAAGGGAGTAGGATCAGATAAGTTTTTGACATTGGGCTAGGACAAAGCTCAAGATTCTTCACAAAGCTGAAGAATGTGTTCTTTGTATTTTGGTTCTTTATGTTCCTTAGTACAATATCATGACACATCCTTTTTGCTTTGTTTGGTCCTTAACCACTCTGTGTGTGCCTGTTTGTTTCTAGACTACTTTGTCTTTGTCCTTGTTCTGACTCTATTCTTTGCATATACCTAGGATGGTATAAAATCAGACTGGAAAAAAATAAACCGGCTTTAGCTTCAGCACTGTCTGCAGTCATGTTATAATGTTGTTTAATTGTATTTCTCCTCCCTCAAGACCCTTTTCACTGACCAAGCTGGCTTGGTCAGCTATTTACATTATGATTCATAAGGGTTGCAAAATTGCAGTCATGAAATGGCAACAAAAATAATTTTATGGTTAGAGGAGGTGTTACCGCAACATTAGGAACTATATTAAAGGGTCACAGTTTTAGGAAGTTTGAGAATAACTGGTTTATTCTTTTGAATTATTTTGTAACCATTTCATCATTACTATATGTAATAAAAATGTTATATTTATGGTTTTTGAAATATATGCAAGTAGCAAGTTAAATGAAAATAATTGCAATATAATATTATTCTGTGTTGAACTGACAAAGACAATGCATTTAGTTCATTGATTTTGCTTTTATATTTGTGTTATAATATCATATGAATAAACATTTCATTGCAGTATTTCAATACAGTATTCATTTCAACTTTTTCTTGCATTATCCACTATATTGTATAGCCAAAAATGCTGAATAGTCTTTATGGTTGTTGTTTTCATTGTTTGTATTTTCAAGACAGGGTTTTTCTGTGTAGCTCTGTCTTTAATGGAACTCACTCTGTAGAGCAGATTGACCTTGAGTTCATAGAGATTGACATGCCTCTGCCTCCTGAATGTGAGTGTTGGGATTAAAGACACATACCGTCACTGCCCAAGTTAATGCTGAACATTCATTTTAATGCATTGTTTTATGTCTGAGTACTACATCCAGCTCTACTTAGTTCATGTTAAAATTTTATTGAACTATTTATGCACTTGTCTTGATATGAAAGTTTAGTTTTATTGTTTATCTATTTCTACTCACTCCTACAATAATTATTATGTGTGTCTGTTACTTGATATACTACCAATTATAACACATTCAAAATTTCCCCCAAACTCTTGAGACAAGACCGATACCACACACCACTTATAAAATTTCTACTATCTATGTAAAATTATATATTGCAGCATTATAATGGATTCTCTAGTAACATATCTATATATTGGTTGACAAATTTACCTGTTGCAAAAATGCAAATGACCAGTTGGTAAGGCATATAATTACCTGTCATGTTAGAAATTTCATTCTCTGGACATGGAGTACAATCAAAACAGCATACAGCCTTTCCTTTCTGAAGGGATTTTCGGAATCCTACACTGCAGGGCATACTGCATACTGATGGCAGTGTCTAACACAATTAGATATGTGTTAGTAAAATGAGTTTGGCCTACTTCATAATAAAAACGGCGATCTGCAGTCATATCACTAAAATTTTTCATTTATTTACAAGTACAACAAATCAAAGACTAATATTTTATTGTAATTTTAAAATAGTATATAAACATATTTTAATATGTCTTTTGTGATATAAAATATAAATAAATAAGTGATATTTATTCATTTATAGTTAAGAATGTTTCTTAAGTCCAACTCACCTGTCTAATGTCCATGGTCCAGTCTATCATGTCTTCAGTTATATATAATTGCTGACCATGCAGAAAATGTTGGGAAAATTTTCCTATTTTCACATTAAGTCCAATAGCTGGTAGAAAATTCATGGCATAGAGAATGTCATATTCTGTATCCAGTTTCCCTTTTTGATTAATGTTGAATTGATATCCAGAAGGATTTATAAATTTGTTGTTCTCCAGAAAAGGGGCCATCTGAAATAAATTTATTGTTGTAGTTTAAACTATAGATGCACATTAGGAAAGATAATCTGAAAATATGAATGTTTCTAATTTCACTTATCTATTCTAAAATGTTACATTATTAGAAGTCCTCAATACAATGAAAGAAAAGAATATACAAATAGAACTAAACATCTTTATGGATTGGAAATATCAGTTTCACAATGGAGATAATAGCTTTCAAGATTCACAATTTAGTAATAGTCACGGAGATTGAGACCTCTTTTGCCTCATCAGTATTATCAGACCATCAGCTAATGAGTAGAGTTCCTTAGTACATAAACAAAGTTGCGTAATTACCTAACATATGTTAATAAACTCTTCATTATATCACCAATGGATTCTTGAGCATTTAAAGGACACTTGTGCTTTTTGCTGCTATATACAAACTTTGTTTCAAATGTTGAAAATATAACAATGGGTAAGTGTTGGACAAAATTCATCAACTTAAGTTCTTTCTTTTATTTTTTAAAAGTTCTTTGAGAATTTTATTCAGTATAATTGTGTCATATACATTCCAGTCCCTCATCACCTCTCTCACCTTCCCTCTATCTCAACACACTCAATTTCCTGTTCTTTCTCTCATTCTTAAAAAACCCTAAATCCCTAAAAACAAGCCACTAAAGACATGAATTCCAATTTGTGTTGGCTAATTCTTGAGCATCAGACCTGTTCTGAAGTGTAGCTTATATATATACAGTGTCATTCCAATGAGGAAAATTGATTTTCCTTCTAAAGGAACATATAAATTGCAAATAGCTTCTTTGGCAAAGGTGAAAATGTGTGCTCACTTCTCACTTGTCTTAGGATTTTGTCTGGCTCATTCTTGAGAGGTCTTGTGAATGCTACCGTAATTTCTCTGGTTCTATATATAGTTCTACCCTGTTCTTCTTATAAAATAATGTTTTCTTAAAAATCTTCAATCACTTATGACTCTTGCATTTTTTTCTATCTCCTCTTTGACATAGATGCATGGTCTTGGCAGTAAATTGTATGACAGAGACATCAGAGTTAGAGATAATTCCTTCAAAGTCTCTCACTCTCTGTACTTTGTACAGTTGTAGGTCTCTGTGTTAGTTATTACCTATACAGGAAGTAGCTTCTCTGATTAGGGTTGAGTGATGAATGACCTGATATATAGATATTGTATCACATCATTAAGAGTTGTCTTATTGTATGTTCATTTAGCAGAACAGTTGTTTTCTTCTTGGGCCATGATCTATTCTTTCTAGGATTTTCAGCTATACTAACAGTGTCAGGTATGGGCACCACCTTATGAAGTGGATCTTAAATCCAATGATAAAGTTGGACTTATGTTGGATAGCCCTCTAATGTTTGTGGCATAATCTTGTTGGCATACCATTATCCCATCTTCCAGCACTATGAAGACTAGTCAATAAGGGTGGAGATTTCAGTTGATGATCCGATTGATTTCCCCACGTTCTATGCAATTACTATGAGTGTCTTCAGCAACAAGGTCTTACTATGACGTTGTGGAGAATAACCAATAACATTGATTCTAATGTTTCAAGTATGCTGTTGTCTCTTTATATTAATTCATACCAGTAACCAGGTTTATGTTATATGCAGCAAAGGGGTACAGAAATAAAACCACTTGGGAGAAAGTTTTGTAAGTTACTTGTATTTATTGCCTATGGTAAACTTTGAGTCATATGTTGACACTTCATACTATTCAGTGGGAATATTATTACCTTCCAGGAGTAAAATTCCAGTCCTTTTCCAATATTCTTTTGCCAATGCTCTGTATGTTGAATAAGCATTTCATGAAGTGCATAGGCTACAGCATAGACAGCATTGTATAAGTTGTAACTTGTCTCGCTCATGGACACTTCAAACTGGTGCTTGGATAACCATTCTAGTAGGATTTTAGTTGAACAGTTTTTCAGTGTCTTACAATGAGATGGCAATGAGCAGTTAAAATACATCCACCATGACCTAGCAATGGAAGTATCTTTATTGTAGCTGGAAGGGTGCACTGTCTGGATGAAATTTTTAAAACCTGGAATCTCAGAATGGGGATGTGAAAAAATGAAAATCCCATGAAAGGAGGTAAGAAGGAAGTCTCCTTTACTCCCATCCCACTGTGAGGTGGTGATCCAGAGTCTCTTAATGCCTAAATGTTGCCACAGTCTAAAGTGTACAGTTAGAGTGTCTGGGTCCCCATAAATGATAATAACTTTTGCTGATGACATCACAATCTGGTTATAATACTTTTCAGCTCTTTTCTGGTGTAATTGTATATTTTCTATGATCATATTCACAAAGGCTAAACAGACTCTGTGTTTGTGCATCTCTCCTCTCAACTTAGAGAGAAACTGGATGCCTAGTTCATCATCTGAAATGACTAGTCCCACCCAATTCCAGCTAAAATGAACCACCAAGGCCATCATGGCCAGGGCCAGAAATGTGTCTTTTGGAGACATCTGGTATAGATACGGATAGTGTTCCCGGTCACTCAGGAGAGGATGAAATGGGCCATAGTAAAGCTAAAGGACAAAAACATAAATAATGTGAATAAATTAGAATGCATACATTTCAGTATTTCTGAGCATGCCAGTTAATATCTGGGAGCATTGGGAAGTATAAATTGTTTATATAGTTATTGCAATTCTACCTTTCTGTGATTTTTCTCAAAAACTACGTATAAGACTATCTTACATTAAAACATGCCACATCTCCACTTTGTTACATCTATTTCTGATATAGCTGTCATGTACATGCCAGAAAATGAGAGTTTATGCTTCAACCCCTGAATCATAACAGACATAAATCCAGTCTATGCCTTCTAATCTATTGTAGTACTCAGAAAGGTGGCAGGGAAGGAGATAGTTTCATTAAAAAATCCAGGTAATCTCACCTGTGGTATTGCAAAGATGTATAGGAGTGGCCCAAGTACAACAGATGAAAACCACCGTGGTCCTGTAAGTACACTTAATAATCTCCTTCCATGTTTACAGTTGTAGTTAGGAATAGTTGCATCTCTGTTTGAGAACATGCTAATTACTTGTAGATCTTCCTTTTTGACACAGTTGACCTTAAGTGTCAGAGAAATATTTGGTAAAATACGAATGCTCCTGTTTATTTGTTTGATGGCAAACAATAGAGACAAAATCAGGTGGATATTCCTGGTTGTCAATCTGAAAACAGAACACAAAGATCACGAGAGTTTAAGTACAACACATGTTAAACTTAGATTACCTTCACTACACTGATTATGACTGAATGTTGTTTCCCTGACCCATTTCAATGGTGACACAGGTCTGTGGTATGTAAGAATATGCAATCTGTGGAATAGTATAAGAACATTTAAAAGTATTTTTTGAGGGGGAGAATATGCTTTACTCAAATTGTATTGTTTTGAAAATTCACATAGCTCACCTCTGTTATCTTTGAACATGGTAAAAAGTCTTTGTGCTGTTCATGGACTAGAAAGTAGGTGTTAGCCAATTCTGAATCTACTCATTGCTTTATCTTGGAAGTCAAAGAATTACTGTATGTAGAAAATGAATGAATGAATTACACAAGCTACCTAGATTTTGATGTTTTCACCCTTAGAATCATCCCTAACAAAGTTCTTAACGTAGTAAATGAGAAATAGCTCATTAAATTTACCTGTATAAACAGCTTTTAGGAGGTTATCGGATTTATAGACAATGAAACTAACAACATTTCTTATTCTTTCTTCTTCATTTCATAGAATTCTGTTCTTTTAATTTTCTGTGGCTGTGCAATTTTGAGTGATAATAGGCTGAGGATAACAATGACTGTTACTGTATGAGGATTGAGCTCCCTGCACTACACAGGGGGCACTTATACATTTTTATACTTAAATGAATATCCTTCCAATAATGCATTTTATACTTAAATTAACATCACTATATTGACTCTGAGTTATGGTTTTTTTCAAGCTTTTAGGAACTGTATTATCCTCCGACCTATTCTCCCTTTGGTTCAGGTGTTAGTAGATCAGCTCAGGATCACTCAGTGGTGGCTTCAATCTACTCAGTGGTCTGTACTAATGGAGCTGCTGACCTGTATTGGTGGTTGGCCACTCCAGTCTTTAGTAAGGAACTACAGAAATCATTGCAGAGGGCACCTGCCCACTGCCACCCTTCTCTGGCTGAGCAGTAGTGAACTCAGTAGCTAGACTATTTTAGTCTTTTTGGCTACATGTTCTCAGAAGCATCCTGCACTTCTTTCTAAATGCTCTTAGAGTCGCTGTAGAAATAGAGATCAAGCATATCCTCCCATAGGTGCCCATGGGAGATAGTGGCACAGGTAGAATACTTCCAGGGACCACATCAGGGAATATTTCTTTGTGGCCAGCGTATACTACATTAGTCCTGCTAAATGAACTCCTAGATATTGCATGGAATTGGAATTTCCGTCTAGTACACAGGGGAGTCTTGTGCTACAAAGAGCAAATATGGGCAGGTTGAAAAAAGACACCTCTCTGAGGGTCTGATGGTCAGCCCTGAAATAGCCATGACTTCCTGAAAGCTTCTTTGTTCTGGTTAATGAAGATCCCAGTTGGTGGTATAATGTAGCCAGTAATGGGAATGGTTCCAGTGGCAGCAGAAATTTCAGCAGTGATCACTGGCCAGTGTTTCTGAAGGAGATGATGCTGACATCAACAGGGTTCTTAATGGCAATGATAGACAGAGCTTCAAGCAACAATGTCTTCCATGTTTTTTTCAGATTTATGCTGTAGATCACATTTCCTTCTGTAGATGTATTGCTTCATCAAGGCTGGTGTTATCAGAGCAGGTTCTTTTAGTAAGGAATTTGAGGACATCCTCCTCCTTCATTTGCAGGCCATCAAGGACTCTGAACACTGTATAACTTTCTTTTTAAGTTACTATGAGAGTCAAGAACAAGGGCATTTGGACACATACATGGGCAGTGTGGAAAGACTATTTTGGTTGTTTTGTATTTTGTACAAATTTGTTCTTTCTATAATACCTTGATTTTTATTTCCATAATTTTATTTAATATATTTTAACAACATATGTTGTCATATGCTTTTAAATGACTTTTAAGAGTATCCCCTCTGCAGGAAAAAGACATCGGGATGGGTATAGCCCTCATGCCTCACTGGACAATGACAGGGGGACTGGAGCCATTACAAGGTCCCCTTCAATTGCAGGAGGTCAGGTCTCTATCCCCGCCTTCACAAGATTAGAATTGCCACAGCCCTTCTATACTTAGAGAAGGGAGGAGATGTCAGGGGCAGCCCTGCTTATACACTGAAGGCCTAAAATCAACCATAGGCCTAAAATCAGCAATAGGCCTGTCATACATGTATACTAACACCAAGTCTTGGGTCTCAGTGGAAAAACATTGAAACAGATGGCTATAAGCTAATGTAAACAGGCAGCTTTTATAGAAATCTACAAGCCTGAGTAGTCATAGACCTTGTAAATAGGTAGCCTTGGCAGACAATACCAACTTAGATAAGGACAAGCAAGTCATAGGCAGAGTCTTAGTGACTTGTCCCCTGAACCTTCACCCAGCCGATACCCAGTTCTGAAGATATCTGTATTCCCCTGAACACCCACACTCCAGTGTCATCCCCTTCCCCACATCCTGCCTTTCTGTGTTTATAACCCCTGTGTGAATGAATTATGATTTGAGAAAAAATAAATTATATAAAAAAAGAGTATTCCTTTTAACTCCATGGTCTCGTTATGGTAGCTCTTGTTGCCTGTTTTTGCTGTTGTTGTTGTTGTATGTGTTAGTGTGTGTGTGTGTGTGTGTGTAGACCAAGCTACCATCAAAATTACAGAGTTGTATCTGCTTCTATAACCCGAGTTTTAGGATTAGAGGTAAGTATACACATGCCTGTCAAATTTGACATTTTTTTCTAACAATTCGAATTATTTAAATGTTTTTGTTGTGAATACTTATATTTTTGTATAGCATATTATGTGTTGTATTATGACTATAACACATATCAAATACACTAGATCCAAATTTTTGTTATGTATCTTCTATTACATTAGATGAAAAATGTATATACTTTTTAATTTTTTGTTTTCCTTGCTTAAATAATTTTCTAGTGTGTTTTATTACTTTATTTCTTAAAATTTCTCCTACATTCATAAAGACCTAAAGTTTTGCCTTGTTTTCTATTTTCTTGCCATTCTGAGATGGATTGTTTTTATACTCAGTTGTTGAGTGTGCTAAGTAAACTATTTCTGTTATACTTACATGAATTTTTAATAACTAAAATTCATAGTTTTTCCCAAATAAGCTATCTTTGAATTAATGTATTTATCTTACTTTTTAGAATTACACTTTTAAGTTTCATGAACACATTATATTTAATAAAATATTCACCTTTGTTTTGAGATCATAACTACATCATATTTCCCTTCTTTCTCACCTCTTCAAGAACCACCATTATCTTATATCTTGCTCTCTTTCAAATTTATAGCATCTTTTCATCACTGTTACATCTTTTTTTTGCCAGTTGTTCTTGGTCCTATCCTAAGGTCACCAGGCTATCAAATCTTTCAATCCTGGCCCTTTGGGTAGTGTTAGGGATGGGGGTCCCTTTCAGGTGATGGATCTAAACTTTGATCTATAAAATTGGCCATTGTCACAATTTCTGCACCACTTTTACTACAGCCTTAATTTTAAAAAAAGTTTATTATTTTATGTGTATAGTTGTTTGGCTGCATGTATGTCTGTATACCATTTGCATGTCTTATACCATCAGTGTCACTGGATACCCTGGGACTAGAATTACAGATAGTTGACATCCACTGTGTAGTTGCTAGCAATTGAGTTGTTAAGTGAACCATCACTCCAGCTCCAAATTCTCCTTTTAAAATTGAAGTATTTGGTTGTTGATGTCTCTTAACTTCTTTGTTCATTTTGGAAATTAGCCCTATGTCATACGTGGAGTTGGTGAAAATCTTTTCTCATTCTGCAGGCTACCATTTTGTCCTATTGATGCTTTCTTTTGCCTTACAGAAGCTTTTCAGTTTCATGAAGTCCCATTTATCAATTTTCAGTCTTAGTGCTTATTCTGCTGATGTTTTTCTGTCCAGGAAGTTGTTTCCTGTGGCATTTGCCTTCAAAGCTGTTCTCCACTTTCTCTATCAGGTTCATTGTATTTGCTTTCATGTTGAGTTCTTTGATCCAGTTGGACTTGAGTTTTGTGCAGGATGATAGATGCCGTTCCCTTTGCATTCTTCTACGTGCCAACATCCAGTTAGACTGGGACCATTACCATGCAACTTGTGTTTTTTCTCTTGCAGCTTTCAACAAAGTTTTTTTTTTTTTTTTGTCTTGTATACTTAATGTTTTAACTCTCTCACATGCTATAGGGATTTTCTTTTCTAGTCTTGTCTATTTGGTGTTCTGTGTAAGTCTTATATCTGCATGTCTGTGTCGTCCTTAGTTTGGGGAAGTTTTTCTCCCATAATCTTGTGGAATATCTGGTTTAATTTATTAATTTAGTATGCTTCTTCCTCATTTTTACCTGAATTTGAAGATTTGGTGTTTTTCATTGTGTTATTTTTAATGTTTTTTTTTTTTTTTACAAATTTTTATATTTCTTGCTTATATAAACTATGTCCTCTAGTTTATCTTCAAAACAATTTGATCGTCTATATAATGCACTCTACTAACAAAGCTTTTCTTTGAGATGTTTTTGTTATTATTATTGTTGTTGTTGTTGTTATTTAATCCTTTTTTATAGTCCAATCATCCCACTCCCAGTCTGCCCTCCAACAGTTGAGGATCCCATTCTTCCTCCTCCTCCTGTCTCCAAGAGGATTCCCAAAACCCTACCTCAAAAGACATACATATTCCCTGGGGCCTCAAGTTTCTCCAGGGTTAGGTGTATCTTCTCTTACAAAGGTCAGACCAGGTTGGCCTCTTCTGGATTTGTGTCAGTGGCCTTATAATAGCTAGTGTATGATGCCTGGTTGGTGGCTCAGTGTCTAAGAGATCTTGAAAGTTAAGGTTAGTTGAGACTGCTGGTCTTCCTATGAGGTCACCTTCCTCCTCAGCTTTTTCTAGCCTTTCCCTAATTTAACCACAGGGTTCCCTGGCTTCTGTTCATTGGTTGGGTGTAAATATCTACATATGATTCTCTCAGTTACTTGTTGGGCCTCATGGAGGGAGC